TGGCATTTCTGTTGCTTTCCCTGGTGCTTCCCTGTCGACTTACACTTCTCACTGCCCTTCGGGTGCTTGTCCACCAAGAAGAACTTGCTGTACTGCTCGCAGTGTATTTGTTTTGAGGTGGTGGCAGAGATCTGCCATCAGCATGAGGAAAAGGTGGTAGAAGGCACCGCAGAAGACCTTTCATACTGGATTGTCTCATATGAGGAAGAGAAGAAAACAACAATGCAATAACTGATATTCAGATTTTGTTGAGTTCAGCACCTCGGTGTTGCGTGCGCGATGCTTTGATGTCGTGCTATGGGTATTAACCTTTGGAAAGCTCCCAAGGAGGAGTTCTCGCTTGTGCTCTGAGCATGACCTGCCAGTACTTTTAAATAGATCACACCAGTGATCTAACTTGTTATGACTCCAGATATTTAATAATATTCTCTTTTGTAATAATCTAGCATTGCTGTGAAACTGAAGGTAGTGTTTAAAGCTGGAAAAGGGATTAGAGGCAAACTTCTACTTATTAGGGAAGTCAGGACAGTTTCTGAAATGTTGGTGATAAATCAAGCTAGTGAAATATCATCAAACAGTTAGACTTTGAACATGGGTATCTGCCTGGGGATGGGCTCAGTTTTGGACATTTATCACAAAGTGTGATTGCTTCTTCCAAGGTCTAATTGGACCTTTCTTGAGTAATGCATAGCCCCTGTATGTAAAAGTGGATCTACTGACTTAGGTAGTGTAGGCTGTTGATAACTTAACCTCTCCTAAAAATTTAGGAGGGAAACCTTTTCAGGGAGAGATGGATATGTTCTTCTTACCTTGTGGAATGTGCTGTGGTGCTGTCCTCAGACTGTGCCTATGTGTGTGACTGAAGTATATTGCAAGATGTTCCAAGCAGCTGAAACATCATGGTTTTAAAACCAGGCCCCTGGGGATATTTGCACAGTTTGCCATCATGCAGCTTTCTAAATCTGTAGTAGTGGGTAGCCTGAAGGGTAGAACCCTTTCTTTTTATAATCTGTTTGCGGCTAAGGGTTTTATACTCCTTCCCTAAGACTTTCAGGAATTCCTGGTGAAGGTGAGGTCTGCACCAAGGTGCTTGAGGCTGCCTCCTCGCGTGCTGGGGGGAAGAGCCCTTCTGATGTGTGTCTGTTCTCCTGATAACCAGGCTGCCTTTTGCTTACTTTCAGTGTAAGAGGCTATGTAAGAGGCCTCAGTTGGAGGCTAAACTTCTTTCTTTTCGGTCTCTAAAAGGGGAAAATATCTTGACCTATGGTGAGAGGAGTGTTATATTTGAAGCCACAGGGCTGTGCTTTAGCACAGGAGCCAGCTGGAAGGCCTTGGGCAGTGCAAAGCGGTAGCTAGTGAGAAGAAAAGGAAATTACTCCCATTTCTAAGTGTGATATGTTTTTTCAAGGTAGATCTAAACTGACTTTAGACTTGATCAAAGTTAAAATTTTTAGCGTTGATGAAAGTTCCTCTGTTTTAGGCCCCTGAGAATAAGCGGAAGAATCATTAAGTAAACTCAAGTAAACAAGTCTTGCTCTTTGGTGGTTAGTACATGCATGGTCTTGGGAAACAGGGCAGCTTGAGAGAGATTGGAGGAGAGAATTTTACACCAGTCTGCGCTAGGGTTGGGTAGACCTGAGTCTACTTGGCCCGTGAGCATGCCTTGGCACTGCTGGCCAAGAAGGGTAGGCGGTCTTCCTCCTGCTTGCTGGTTTTACAAAGCATGCCGAAATCCCCTGGAAAATCTGGCACCAAAAATAAGTTTGCCTCAACTATTGACTTGTGGAGCACAATGTGTGAAATGTGTGCAATGTTTGTGGAGGGTGTCATGTTGGTGCCATGCTCATGTTAATACACCCTCCTCTTGGCAAGGCATGGCTGGAGGGCAGAGGCCACTTGAGTCTTCCCTTTCACCCTCAAAATGGGCTGAGTGCTATGTTGTGATGCTGCAGGTCTCTGAAGATAGTTGTGCTTGTGGGCTAGCAGTTGCCCACTTGTGATTGCCTGTGCCCATATTGTGAGCTTTTGAGCATTGCAAAGGTACATCATGGTGGCATGACTTCTGCTTGCTCTCCAGCTTGTATGCTAGGTCTAGCGTGAATAGCTTAATTGTAATAGTGTGACTTGTGTAGTGAGAGTGATCCCCTGGGAAAGCTGCCTGTTCTTCTTAGCTCCAAGTGGAGGAACTGTTCTCCCAGATTTTACCAAACAAAGGGTGGCAACACTGCATTCTGATTACCCATCAGAGAGGAGTAGGTAGATGAGAACTCCTTTTCTCTGCTAGTGTATGCAGCAGAGGGCTCTCGCTTTTCTGCATAATAAATCTGGCTTGTCCACTCACAAATGTTGTAATTAATTTTGTGTAATGATTCAAGCACGATCTGAGAGTGAATATTTTTGTGGTCCATGTGTACCCCAAATTCAGTTGTTAGAGGAACTCCAGAAATGGTGCTGTTCTAGTACACCAGTACAGGCTGGGGACCGACCTTGTGGAGAGCAGCTCTGCAGAGAAAGACCTGGGTGTCATGGTGGACGACAAGTTGACCATGAGGCAGCAGTGTGCCCTCGTGGCCAAGAAGGCCAATGGAATCCTGGGCTGCATTAAGAAGAGCATCTCTAGCAGGTCGAGGGAGGTGATCCTGCCCCTCTACTCAGCCCTGGTGAGGCTGCATCTGGAGTATTGTGTCCAGTTCTGGGCCCCACAGTACAAGAGGGATGTGGAGCTGCTGGAGAGAGTCCAGCGCAGGGCCACAAGGATGATCAGGGGCCTGGAACATCTGCCCTATGAGGAAAGACTGAGAGAGCTGGGCCTGTTCAGCCTGGAGAAGAGAAGGCTGAGAGGAGACCTGATCAGTGT